AATAATAATAACACCACAAAATGCCTGGAACAAATGGCTTTTGCTGCAGCTGTATTCATTATGCAGGCAGAGCTGTCCCTAATTAGATAATATGAGATTTCTTGGCTCACACCAAGCAATTCAGAAGAAAGAGCCTCGTTATTGATGGGACAAACCACACAAAGCAGTGGAGCAGAGTTTAATAAAGCAGAGAAGTATCAAAGAGAGAAAGGTTTTAATTCTTAATAAGTAGATCCATGGGTTTCATTAACCAGCGTTCAAAGGGGTTTTTTTAGGGTTGCTTTTATTACCTAATTAATTAAAGCCTGACCAATAAGATAGATTAGTCCAATGGAATTGCAGCTTGTATTAATAGCAATACTAATTAATCACCGAGCTGGAGCATTCCTGTGCTCTGAGGAGAAATCATTCCAGGGTAAATGTGGAGAGAAAACTGGAAAAGAAAAGGGAAGGATGGGCTGGGCTTGGTTTTCTCCCCCAAAATGGGATTTTGATGATCATGGCCAAACTGACAAAGTGCAGGAATAAAGGTAAAATAATGAGTTCAACATTTTTAAATGGCATTTCTGAGGTTTTAAATGTGCTTTTTAAAGCCTTTCCCCATGTCCCATCTCCCCATCCCCAGGATGAGGAGGCCCTGCATAAACCAGGACTGAGACAAGGGGGATTATCCTAAAATCTCTGTGACCTCCATTCACACACAAAGCCTGAATTCCAGGGAATCTCAGATGTCACATCAGACCTCCTTCCCTTCTCCTAAACATGCCCAGCCAGGAAAAAGAAAGGGAAAAAAAAAAGAAAGAATGGGAAAAAAAGAAGGAGAAATTAAGGGAAAGGAAGGGAAGAAAGAAGGGAGAAAAAAGAAGGAAAAATGAAGTGAAGGAAAAATGAAGCAAAGGAAAAAAGAAAAAAAAGGAAAAATAACCCCACACAACCTCAACTCTGTTAAATCTGATTTTTCTGCCAAATTATGGATATGGATTTGGATTTATCCAAATTATGGATAATTATCCTCCCTACTCTCCCCCAGCTCCCAGCCCTGCCGTGGTACATCCTTGCACTCAGCTGCAGGCAGGGAAGCAAAAGGAAAGGAGAGGGAATCATTTGCACATAAATATTAAAAAAAAAAAAAAAAAAGAATCTGTAGCTCCCACATAATTTGTTTTCTCATTAAGCAGCGTCTGCGAGCACGGGGATATTTGATCTATTAAAAATGCTTATTTAAATACTCCTCCTAGAGTTAATTTTTCCTCCTGAAGGCTGCTGCAAAAATCCATCTCCTCTGGAACAGAGGAGGGGGAAAAGCAGGTTGGTTTTTTTTTTTTTTTAGGCCAGAGTTTTGTATTCCGTGTGAAGTTCTGTGACAGAACCACGGTGCTGTCACAGCACGAGGATGATGATTCATGGAGCTTTCCAAGAGCTATTCATGTTAGCAATGACTTAGCCCAAATGAACATTATTAATAATTAACAGTATGCAGATTGCCATTATTGGAAAGCCCCTGGGCCTTACCCAGCGAGTAATTTCAATTTTTCAAAAGTATTAATAAACTGAAATATTCTTTTTTTTTTTTTCCCCATTTAATTTGTCTGGGTTTTTTTGTATTTTAGAGCACCTGCCTGGAGTCTGGAAAAGCCAAAGGAGTTCTCCTTATGATTTTCCAGTGCCAATTCCCCCCATAATCTCCAAATTGCAGGGACTTCTCCCCTCAATCTCCCAATTCCAGAGAGTTCTCCCCACAATCTCCCAATTCCAGAGAGTTCTCCCCACAATCTCCCAATTCCAGAGAGTTCTCCCCACAATCTCCCAATTCCAAAGAGTTTCCCCCTCAATCTCCCAATTCCAGAGATTTCTCCCTCTCCCCTCTCCCCAGGGCAGTGGCACTGGGGCACTCCCAGTCACACCAGTTGCTCCCCATGGAGGCTGGAGCTCCTACTGGAACCCAGTTCAATCCAGCCCTGATCACCAAGGCTGCCCTGGGGCTGCTTCCAGTTCTCCCAGTTCTCCCAGTTCCCACCTGTGCCTTGTGCAGGAGGTCAGAGCATCCTCACCAGTTGAGGACTGGGCCATACTGGTGCCTTTCCCCCCTTACCATCATGACCTAAATAAAAAAGAATTTCCCAAGGTTTCCCCCTGGAAAATAGCAGTGACCAGCTCCGGGCACTGGGATGCTCTGGTGAGGCTGGAGCAGCTCCCCCAGCTCTCCTCCTCCAGAGCAACAAAAAACACAGATTTTTTTTGGGGGGAAAAAGGTGCTTTTCAGTAAAATGATTCCAAACCAATGGCCTCTCATCAGTGTGGGGACAGATGAGAGGCTGGAGGGGCACAAAGCAGCTCGCAGGGAACATTCACTGGTGTCTTTGAGGTGGATAAATCACACGAGAGGTGATCAGTGACACAAAATCCCTCCCTAAAAGCAGTTCCAAAGGTGAAAACTCCAGGAATTCCAAGTGTCCCCTCTCCCCCTCGGTGATGCTTTGCAGCTTTGGGCAGTGATAATCCCGCATTTTCCCCGGGAAGCTGTAAATCTGTAAATAATCGGTAAATAATCTGCTTTTCTCAGCGCTCACCCTGCAGGCAGCGAGGTTTCAGTGGCTCAGCCAAAGCCTCGAACCGCGGCACAAGGGAGGGCTCTGCTGGAAGCAAACCGGAGCTACAGCATCACACACCTCAGTGCTGCTCGAAAACCCAGCTCGTCCCGTGCTTTTTAATCTAAAAAAAAAAACGAGTTTTCAACCACAATTTTGGAGTTTTAATCTTGTTATCACAAGCGATCTTGCTACGTTTCAATCAACCAGGAAAGCAACAATGGCAGGGTGGGGTTTTTTGAGATAATTTCTTAAATGTGGGCTGGAAAAGCTGCAATCAAAGCACTCAGTCCCAATTCAGAGCTGCTCAACCCTCTGGGAGCAGATAAGGCAGCAAGACAAGATAAGGAATGACAGCAAACAGCAGGGCAGTGACTCCTCTGGTAAATGTGCAACCACAGGGAAAACATCAGAGCTGGGGTGCTGGCCCCAAAATCAGCATTTCAGCCCCTTTACAATTGACACTTAGAAGTCTGAGTGCAGCAAAAGTAAAGAAAGGCAAAGATCTCATTATCCAAAAACCCAGAGGAACTTTAAAACCGCTGCAAAAATTCCCATCGCTGATGCTCAGCAGACATTTCCCTGGAATGTGGAGTTTGATCCACACACAGCAAACCCCTTGGCAGCTCCACCAGCCTTTGCAGCGGGACTACAAAGCAGGAGAGAACACAAGAGATAATGCCAAGCAGAGAGAAAACAAATCCAGGAGGGAAAAGCAGCAAAAAAGAACCAATAAATCCCAGGGATGGGCAGACAGCTCATTTCCAGTTCCTGTTCTCAAACCCAGCACGAGCTGCTGGTTATCCATGGGCTGGAGAGAGCCCTGCAGGGCTCTTGGTGCAGAATTCTCACCTGAACCAGGTTTTTCATGGATTGGTTGAACAAAGGATTGGGAATCCCAGCAGGGAGGTCAGGACCTGCTCGTGAGACCAGAACTGCCACACTTCACTCACCCCACATCAATCCCTGCTCTCAGCTGCCCCCAAATCCTTATGGAGAAAAACGGGAACAGAGCCCTGTTGGTTTTGGGGGGGTTTATTCTCCTGCAGGAAGAATAAATGGGATTCTCCCAGGTCTAACCAGATGAAATCCCAGTGTACAGAAGGGAGATCCCCTGCAAGACAAACACACATCCAAGTAGTCAAACACTATTTTTTTTAATGCAGATTTGCAAAATGCAAGCCAAGTGTTGAAAATTCAGGACATTTCATGAAAGCACATTTGGTCCTCTCCCATCCTCAGTTAAATACTTCATGGATAAATAACAATTAAGCATACATGGCACTTCTAGTTAGGAAAACCTGATATTGCACATGATACCAAGAAATACAAGAGTCTGTTTCAGCAAGTAATTCCAGCACTGTTATCAGTTCCATTTTGATTCCATTGACTTGTACAAAAGCTCTCATTTACTTACAGAGTAAAAACGTATCCAAGCAGTTTTACAACAAAGAGGAAGAAAAGTTGGCTCCTGCAGGAACACCGAATCTTTTACCACCAGCCTCCAGGAGGATAAAGAGCATTTCTATGGAAAGATGACTGTCACATCACCAGGCAACAGAAATTCCAAAGCAATTCCCCAGGGAAGCTGCCCATGTTTGGCTGGAAAGCTGCAATTCCTGTCTGGGCTGCTCCCACTCTCAGCCACCTTTCACTATTCCTGGCAATCACCAGGAAAACACAATGGCAGAAGAGTTGTGCAACTTCCTCACAGTTGTGGAATTGTCTCTGGAAAGCTCTGGCATGGATTCTGTGCACATTCCTGGGCTGGGAGCCTCCCTGGCTTCAGGAGTTCAGAGGGCACACACACACACACAGAGAGTGGCCAGTGTCACATTCAGGGAGTGTGGGACAAAGCCGGAGCAGGAGGAGCCAGCACTGCACTGAGGGTGTGTCTGTCCTGGTGTCCTGGTGTCCCCAAACCCTGCCCAGCCTGGCACTGCCACTCCCCGAGTCTGCACAGAGTGGGGGATGCTGTGCTGGGCTCCCAGCCCTTCATTTCTCATCGCAGGGCTGGACGGGCCCAGCTGGCCCAGGAGCAGCATTTGAGAGCCCAGACCCCCCTGCTGTGGGTGGGCAGAAATGCCTCCCACCCTCCTGGGGGCATCCCTGCCTCTGCCCATCCTCCTCCTCCTGCAAGCACAGCCCAGACCTCTCCCAGCATCACAACACCTGCAATTCCTGTTTTCCTTTCAAACAGACAACTCTGACACTCCAATAACACCTTTGGCAAAGCCAATTCTACAGGAGCTGGAATCACCTCAGCTGCCTCAAACACCAAGGCAAACATTGTCTTGCAGTATTTTGGGAAATTTTAACCTATTTCCCTCTCCCCCCTCCAACCCTTCAAACACACAGAATAAGACTAAGAAGATTTGATGATTTTTTTTTTTTTGCCTGAATACAAGATTCAACTTTCATGGAATAAAAGATTCTACAACAAAGTCCCTGAGGTGCATCTGTACATTAAAAGATTCCAACAATAACCTCTCCAAACTTCATATTTATTAGAAATGTTTTGAGTTGCAACACGTGGTTCATGAAAACCAATGTTGTTGTAAGAAGGTGAAAATACAGCAGATCAAGTTGCCCTTATATTTATGCCTCAATTTAAAAGTCATTAACCCAAAAATAACATTCTACTACTTCAACTGTAGTCAAAAATTAGAAGTATATAAGCGATGGGGAACCACTGGAAAAAAAAAATCCCAACTTTTTATATTTAAAATAGTTGTTTTGGCCTCAGTTTGTCGTCATCCCTCAAGCCCTTAACTGCTTTCTTCCTGGAAGTTCATAGATATTCTTCCAGTATCTTAAAAAAAAACCCAAACATCTCTCTTTAAGTGACTTTGGGTTCCACTGTATTTTACAACCAGATCATCAGAAATACTTTTCTGTCTTCCCAAGGAAGCTCAGTTTTCCCTGCTAGTGAAGGGAACTTAAGGCACTACCACATGAATCCTGTCAGGAATGTGGAATAGTTTGTTCTTCGTGTACTGACACCAGTTCTTAGCAGCATCTCTCCTGAAAAGGCACTAAAACTTGGCAAACAAGGAAACTTTGGGAACTTCTGCCTGAGTGGCTTTGCAATTCCCCCTTCCCTCCCAAAAAGGCACCTGGGTTGGTTTGATCACTGCTTGCTGCAGCTACAGGCTCTCACAACCCTGCAGGTTCTGTCAGCTGTGGGTGGGAGGGATGTCACACTCTACCAACAGCTCTTACACCACCAGCAGTTATCCCTCCAAGAGTACACAGAGCAGTTTTGTTTCAGCAAACCCAGTGGGTTCCTACCTGAGTAGACCTTAAGGTTGTGTATTGCTAGTCAGAAAAATCCAATAATTCGACTTGGTGTAAAAAATTGCACTTCCCCACTCCTACCCCAAACCCCAAGATCATTTCAAATGAAATACCAGACCCTGCTCTAGAGGGACATTTGTAACACAGCTACAAAGAGGTAGCTAAGTGGCCAATTTGCCTTCTTTTTTCTTTTAAAATATATTCAGCCTTCATTTGCAACAACATTTTTCATAGGAAGTCTTGAAACAAGAGCTGTCTGTTGAGGTGGCACAGGAGGTTACCCTGTGGAGCACTGAGCTCCAGCTCCTTTGTGTCCAAGGCAGGCCCAGGGGACACCTGGGGGACTCAGGCTGTGCAGGGAGCAGCTGAAGGGGGAGGAATGTCTGCAGGGCAATCCCAAGCTCCTGTGAAGTTCCCCTGCAGAGTCCCTCAGATCAGTCCCACCATTCTGTCGATCTGTCTCATGTAGTTGCTCTTCAGGGGCAGCAGGTACCTCCTCTCATCAGGGACTCTGTTACACTGTTGAGAAAATTAACACCTTTTTAAAAACTCAAATCCAAACCCAGGTAAGCCCATCCCCTCTGCAATCCTTTCAGATCCTCCCAGTACAGCAAATTGTACCAAATAACACTTTTTACTCCAACTTGCTCTCATTCTTTGCAGACTTCCAGCACAAATCCCATAAATGAGCAGCAAGTGTTTCCTCAGTGCAGGCTGCAGCTTCCAAACACACAGCACAGCTTGTTGTGCAACTGAGATTTCCTTCACTATGACAACTGTGAATGTCTAAAATAATGCTCTTTTCCTGGAGCTCTGTGGGGAGGAGGGAAGGAGCCACACCAGAACCTCCCAGCAGAGATTTAAAAAATTGTCCTTAACTGCTCCAGTGGAAGGTGTCCCTGCCCATGGGGGTGCAATGAGATGCTCTTTTAATTCCTTTCAACTCAAACCATTCTGTGATTCTGTGATTCAAACCAGATCTGTTCTGGTTGGTGATGGGCACTGGAGGCACAGCTCTCAGCTGAGGCCTTGCTAAGAAAGGTCCCCTTTCCACCCCCGAAACCACACTGAGGAAGACAAAGCTTAATTTAGATGGTTTGGTTTAGAAGATCCTCTGCTTCTCCCTTTACCCCTGACAGCAACACTGGAGAGGAGTTTTAAGGGCAAAGAAAATGGGAAGGGGAAAGGAATTGGAAGTAATTTAACAAAGAACAAAAAAACTGCTGCAAAATACTTCCAAGGGGACAGGTTTCACCTTCACCAGGATCCCTCACACGATCCCATTCCTGTTTTCAGGGCAGCTCATCAGATATTTAGCATTTCTAAAGGAAACCCTTTACAGCACCCCCTCCCAAGGGCTCAGTGAGCGCTGCCTGCCCCTTCCCCACTCCCCAGCAGGAGCAGCCCGTGCATTCCTTACGTTGGAGCTGAAGTTGGCTGCCTTGAGCTCGGGGGGTTTGGTTTTGTGGGCGCTGTCCCCCCCTCCGGGCAGGATGTCCTCCCACAGCGAGCTCCGGAATCGCTCGTCCACAGACACGATGTGGCCCTCAGTAGTAAACATGAACTTATTGCCAGATTTATGCACTGGATTCTCTTCATCGAACAACTGAAGGGGACAAGGGAGAGACAGTCATTGTAGGTGTGCCACATCCTTCATCTCCCAGGAACAAGGAGCTGGAAGCAGCTACTCACACACTTTGAGGGATCACATAAAAATACCTTTTAGTGCTAAATAAAGCTGCAGCAAATGGCAATAAATAACCTTAATGCAAGGGATTGATCGGAGGAGTTAGAAGAGGAGAGCACAAGAAAAACTTCTCGCACAACTTAAAGTGCCCTTATTTTTCTAAGCTGCTCTGTGAGGCATTTCTAGGCTGGCATCCACTCAGTCACAGTTTTATTTGGTTTTCTGCACTAAAGGAGATTGAGAACAGGGCTTAGGCAATGTCAGCCCAAATTCTTTCTGCTGGGAGTGCCAAAGCCAGTGGGGAGAAAGCAGAGGCTGCTCCAGGCAGCAATTAGCTGAGAGCTGAGCAGCAGCTCCCTCCACTCCTGCTCCCTTTCCTGTCCAGCCTCTTCCCAAAGATCTGCAGCTCCCCAGGCTCAGGAACCACTCCTGGGCAGCTGCCCCACCTCAGACATTGGGGTGAGGCCAAAGAAGAGGAGCTGAGCCTCAATCACCCCCAAACACAAACCCCAGAGCCCTGCAGGCTGTCATTAATGATGCCTGCCCCCAACCCAGATTCTAATTAATAATTAATAACCTCCTGCCCCCTCCCGTGCCGTTTTTGTGCCCAGTGGAGCACACACGTACCAGGTACAAATATTTACAGGTTTCACTGAGAAAGAAGCTCTCCATTCGATCCTCCTTGGTCTTCTCCACCACGTGGTGCAACGTGGCATAGCCACACCTGCAACATTGGACATTGGTTTGGGGTCAGTTCCAGCTCTGCTGCTCTCTGAGTGCTGCCCAGATATTCCTTCACAGATATTCCTTCACTTCAGAGCATTCCCACTGCCGGGGTTGAAGTTCAAATGGAACAATTGTGCTGTGTAAACACTCACTGGTTATTGGTTCTGGGGTGCTGAGGGCTCTGTGATCACCTGAACCCCACTCAGCAGCAATGTCTGACCTGGCCAGTTGTTACACATCTGTCTACATAACGAGTCAATTAATAATAAGGAATAAAAATTAATTGTCTTCACCCCGAGCCTTGCAAAAAGTTCAGCTACTCAGTATTAAAGTCAGGGCTCACTGCTGCTGTCTTGAATTGGAAGCTGATATCCAACAGCATCTGGCTTAGGGGCCATCCCTCAGCTCAGCTAAACATGAGCAGAGAAATAATCCTGCAGGATCCCTAGGAAAAATCCCAACTGCTATTTTCAGCAGTTTTTAGCAGCTGATCATCAACAATGCATTTTGAAAGGCAGTGATAAAATGCCAAAGGTATAAAGTTGCCACTGGACTATAATTTCATTTTCAGATAGGAAAGAAAGAAGTGCTCAATAAATTAATCATCACTTGTGGCTCTCAAGGAGGGCTGGGTTTTCTGGTTTACCTACATGTGGCAGACTGGATTCTATATAATATTTGTATAATAAAATGTAGGTATATAGCACTGAGAGAAGAAAAGAACATTGAAGACTGACTTTGCTTTTGTATATTTTTCCAAACTCTGCAGAATATCCATTCCCACATGAAGGTAAAATGGGTTCTTTGTGGCCTAAATAAGGAAGACAGACAAGAGTTAGAGTCAGCAATTTTAAATCCTGTAAAAATAACACAACAAAGGCCTATTGGCACCAGAGTCTTGTGTATCACAGCAAACTTATCTTTATAGGAGCATGACTTGGATTAGCCAATGCAAGCTTCTCACATTTGCTTTAGTGCAAATCCTAGAAAACCTGCAGTAAATCCAAACTCTCTGATCCCTTCCTTGTAGGCAGAGTTATTTTAGTTTATTGTATCTGTGCCTGGACACTATTGCAAGGAAAGCTGGTACATTTACTTGAACAATTTTGGTTGAGCAGTCACAAGCCTTTGCCTTGTAAAAATCTGCCAGCAGCTTTTAGAAAAGGTGGTTTAGTGTTGTTTTTGCCTGCCTTATAAAAAAAGGCTATTTTTGAAGCAAACAGCAGAGCCACAACATTGCTCAACACTGCAGTGCCTGCCCAGAGACTCCACATGACAAGAGGCAGCTCCAGGGCTGCCAAACTTCAGCTGGCCACAGGTCAGAGGAGGAAAAAAGGAATTTTTTGGGGGAAAAGGGACTTTCTAGGGGGAAAAAAGGGACTTTTTTGGAGGAAAAGGGACTTTCTGAACAAAAGGATTTTGGCCAAGCCATGATGTGCAGCTCAGAGAAGTCCCATACCTGATAAAGGAGATAAGTGGACTCCACCAGCTCCGGCCTCAGGGGGTAGAAGGGAACATCTGGGGCCTGCAGCTGCCAGTTGTACCTCTCTGGGAGAGCTCCATAGCGTTTCCAAATGGCATAATAGAAGGCATGGAGACAAATGGCATCTTCCACATCTCCTATCAACACCTGGGCACGAGAGCAGCCAGAGACACACACACACACACACACACCAACATTTAGTGCTGCAAGCCAGCAAAGATGAAAAAACTCACACAAAATAACCCCCCAAAAGTACGAATGCATTCATTCTCTGCAGTAAAAACTTCAGCAGAGCCTCACAGCACAGAATACAAATGCTGAGGTTAAAAGAGGGAAGCTGAAAAGTCTCTCAGATCTAGCAGAGAGCAGGCCAGGCCTCCCCTCACTGCTGTGTAAATGCAGAGCTCAACTGAGCTCTTATCAGAGCAGCCAGATGCAAACCCTCAGGAGGGAGCTCAGCTCAGAACTCACACTCATTCCCAGCCCAGGATTAGTTTGGGCCTTTCTCCTTGGCTTTTACCAGAAGGGAAGTTTACCTGCAGCCCAGGGAAGAAGGCCTGCAGAGAGTCAATCCAGGTGTTCATCAGCTGGCCCGTGTACATGTTGACATTGACATAGAGGGGAGGGTCACCTTCTCCTTCATTGCAGGCCTCCCGACTGCCAGGGAACAACAGCACATGGAAATGCTCTGCCTGAGGACAGCACAGCACACTGCCAGCAGCCAAGGCAAGCAGCCACTGCTTTGCTGTGCTGGGCTCATGGTGAAAGGAACCCAAACATCAGTCATGCTCTCAGAGAAGTGAATTCATAAAGGGATGTATCCTATCTTAGAGCTCTGCCAGCAGAATCTCTACCAAAAAGTCATGCTAGGCAAGATCAGGCTTTCAGAAGAACAAAGCAGCCAATTTAATGCATTTCTCTTGCAGTGCCAGACTTTTCTCAGCCTTAACATTTATAAATGGGACAGGAACCAGTTTGGCTTCTCTGCACCCAATCAGTAGCTGAGGAAAGAGCAGACTGCCATGGAAATGGGATTTTTTGTTTCTTACAGTAAAAAGGAGAACAGATTTTCTAGAGCACGACACAAAGCACTATAAACAGGTAAGTTTCAGATCTTCAGAGGATTCACTGCTCAAGGAATTGATGCTGACATGAATCACATACCCTCTCCTCAGGTGGTTCTGAATGTTCTGATAAGCAGCATTGAACATCTCCAGGTCTTCCTTTTCCCCAAAGAGGATGTAAGACTTCAGCAGGTACTCATAGAACGAATCTGAGCCTGCTCCCAGTCCACTCTGCTTTCCAACCCAGTGACCAGTCTGGATATTCACAACATTTCCTTTCAGAACAAATCAAAAGTTTAGCCTGAGGTTGCTGAGTATATCAGAGAAAAACAATCCAGTCAAGACTTGGGAATATTACACGTTCAGAAATTCCCAAGGAGGAAGGATCAAAGACTAACATCAGATGGAGTGTTACTGTGGTGGATTCATCTGAGGAACACCCACACACATGCAGTTATTTCAAGTACTTTTAGTCATCTGCCAATCTGAATTACATTAATGGAGACACAAATCAGGGCCTTCAGTTCCATTCCCCAGTCTTGTGAAAAATTCCATTTGAAAACCTGTGCCCTAAGGAGTCTTTCAGAGACTCCATTTTTCTTAGAAAACCCCAAAGTGCCATTAGTTCAACACAACCCCTGGGAACACAAGGAGAACGTGACTGAACAGCTACAGAGGGAGCAGAAGGACAAAGGTGAGGACACGTGGAGGAACTGAAGGCACAGCCTGAGGCAGGCTGACACAGCAGCACCCCCAGCCATTACCCAGCAGTCCAGTGTTGTTGCTCCTGAGGCTCCACAGGGCCTTCACAGCTCTCCTGGCCACCCACTCGAAGGTGGAATCTCCAAGCAGCCTGCTGAGGATCCCAAACTCCACCAGCAAGGACCCAGCTCCTGCCGTGCACGTCTCGTTGTGGCTGTCTGGAGGAACCCCCTTCTTCAGGTTCACCTGTGGACAGGTACTGCACTCAGCCAGCTGTGCTCACAGCTGCACCCTCACCTTCAGGAACAAGCCCTTTTGGTAGCTTTTGCACAATGTGGAGCGTGGAATGTGCACAGAGAGACAAAACCAGCACATTGCTGCTTGGAAAGCTTTCCTGCAGAATTCCTAACATTCTTCTTCCAGCTTTGCAGCATCATGCTTAAAGTGGGCAAGCCTCATTTTTCTCTTACACTTGCTAATCCTTGCAAACTTCACTTTTTCTTGCTTTCCACTAAACATTCAGGCTTTTCCATCTTTGCTGCCCCCCAGTTTGTGCTGTTGAAACCAAGAGCTTCCTCAGTGGATGCTCCTCCCCAATGGAGGGCAGCCTGAAGGAAAGTTACACCACCCTCAGCTGCTTTACCAGGCCCTGAACAGAAGTGAAAATTCACATTTCTACAGCCTGGCAGGTCTGGAGGAAAAGCTGTGATGCTGTCTCCAGAAATTAAGAGCAGGCAGGCAAGTGCTAATTATAATTTTGCAGTTTAGGATTGTTCCAATAGTAGTGATATCCTTCTGCTTGCCAACTGCATCTGTTTAAAACAAGAGGCTGCAGCATCCAAGAATCCCAGAGTATTGAGTACCCACTGAGCAGTCTACAGGAAAATTATAAACTCCAAGCCAAGTATGATAAATATTTCAGAAGTTTTTCCTGATATAATTGTTTTAGTAGCAATAGAGTCACTTTCCTCAGTTATTTGCCTTTACAGTATTCCTTATTAATGACAGTATTGTGTGACAAAGGGCAGGGAATGCTCCAGCCAAAGAGCACAGAAACAAATGACTCCTGATCCACAGGGAACAACAAACACAGTGAAAAATCAGGGAAAACATCTACTAAACAGAAGGAGCAACTTGTATTACCCATACAAAAACTTGCATGATTTTTGTATCACCAAAACTTATTTTCCCCTGTGTTATTTTAGAATAACTTAGAGCAGGCTCAATACCCCAAGTGCACATAAAAGGGCACAAAATTCAAATTGTAGGACAGGTGCTTTGAGCCTGTTTCCCCCAGGGCTGCTGTCCACTCACCCGAGGATAGGGAATGCCAGTTTTGGTGTTCTCAAAGGCTGGGAGCAGCCTCACTGCCAGGTCATGAGCCAAGTGCAGCAGCTCATTGTCATAATCCTTAATGGTCATGTCACCAAAGGGCTGCTTGGTGTCTGTAATGATGATGTGGGCAGACAGCAGGCTTCCCAAAACCCTGTGGGAAAAGGGAAATTCAGGTTTTCAGTCTGTTCTGAACCTCATTCTTTACCTAAACACCTTACTGGTGTCATGTCTGACAGAATTATTACTCTGTGCTCCTTACAGGCACTACATAGAATGATCTGCTTTTCCCCCACCAGTAGTGAACACACATAGAAGTCATGTTCTTGTTAGCCACAGTACCCCAAAACCTGGTTCTGCAAAATTTACCTGACCCAGGAGTTCTTGTAACAAGTCTGTTTAGGAGTGAAGACCCCCTTGACCCTGCAGATGGCAGGAAGGGTGTTACATAAACTTAGTTCTCAGAAAAAAGAAAGCCTAGCCAAGTGCAGCAGGAATAAACACTGCTTGAGACACTCAGAAAATGAAACCCTTTAAAATCACACAGTATCTAAAATCATTTCCAAGGCAGAAGAGTCTTTTTCATCTAAAATGAAAGTGAAAGTGAGCAGAAGTCCACGAAACAAAAATAAACCAGGGAAAAGCAGTCCCAGGGTTGTTTGCTGGGCCCACATCTGAGTCTCTGCTGCAAGAGTGACAACAAAAAAGCAGAGTCTGGAAGCACAGAGCCAACCTCACTGCTGTCTCACTGCTCCAGGCCACACAGGACTGATTCAAATTGTTTCCAATATGAAAGGATGGAATATTTTCATAGAAGATTAAGAAACAGCTTACTTGAGGAACAATTTAGGAATAAAGCCTGCCAAAAACCTCTAAATCAATGATTTCACTTTGAATTACACTCACCAAGTCTTTAACCTTTTTACTGCTTTAAAAACAGGAACTCAGCACCACATACCTGATTGTTGCCTCAAAAACTTGGACTGTTGAGTCTTTGTCAAATGAAACTGTGTCAATCACCAACTTCACTGCCTTCTGGAATTCTGAGGAGTTTCCCATTACCTTTTACAGAAAAACAAAGCTAGTTTGTACAATTGTTGCTTCAGAAGAGGGTTGGGGAAGAGAATGGCAAGTTCACGTCTTAAGCCAGCAGTCAGATTTAGCACACTGAGTGTTCAAACTTCCTGAACTGTCAGTTCAAGAGTTAAGTTTAGCTTAAACCATAACACAGCTCGCAGAACAATGAAGTTTGATTTAATGTTTATTTGACCAAAGACCAGTCCAACCTTTCAGGCTCCTGACCCAGCACTGCACATTTAGGAGTTCCCTTGTGCCTGCTTCCTACAGGTCTAACCTAGGAACTGATTCCCACTGCATCCAGAGAGAGATGTAAACTGAATTGCAGGGGAGCAGGAATGTGGAAGGAAAACACAGGTTCCTGCTTGCCTGAGCTCATGAAAATGCTGGGACATACCTAAATTTTTAACCAAAGCACCAGGTGCCAGCTGTCCCCATTGCCCAGGCCCAGTGGGGAAGCATCCCATGTTTGATGTGAGCAGTGAGGAGCAGAACAGGCTTCCCCCACACAGCAGCCTCTGAAACTCAAGAGACTTTAGCAACCAAAGCCTTTACATCTGAGAAAAGTTAAGCCCTGTCCCGCTGGTGAAGGAGGACAGGAAGGCATTGTTATCAGCCACGTAGCACAGATCCCAAACTTCTCTCTCAATAAAACATTTCCCTCACTTCTGCTTTCAGTTCTGCTCAGAGCTGCCCTGCTCAAGCAGCTCCTCATCACTGCTGCAGTCCCAGGGTAGAATGGGAAGGGTTTTATATCCCATAGAGCCCAAACCACCTTCTGCACCAGAGGAGATCCACATCCCCCATGGCTCCAGCACATCAGTGAGCCCTGACACTCCAGAAGGCACAAAACCTGCACAGATGAGAATAATGAAATCTACTGGGGCCTCTGAAAATGCCCAAGCAGGGACCTCTTCCTCATGACCCCATACCCTGTGCTGCACAAAAATGAGCTGCTCCTCACATTATCTCCCAGTTTTATCAGGAATGCAGGTGAGAAGCAGCTTTACAGCGTTTCCCCTCCTTCCTTTCACCACTCTTCACACAGATCTGTGTGTCAGTCAGGCCCCCTCTGCCAAGTGAAACAACCAGAGCTCTTGCAGCTCTTGTGCACACAATGAACCTTCCTCCTGATGGACCTCCCAGCAACCCACAGCAGTTCCACTTCAAATCCCCCCACCCTGAGCACCAGTGATGGCACATCCCAAAGAAATCTCTGAACCTTGGGGAGGAGCTCCAAAATTTCCTCTGTCTCATCTGGAAACCTCTGCTGACATCTCCAACCACTCTCATTCTGTTACCCCCATGGGACACTGCTGGTTTGTGATCCAGCTGTTAGCTTGTGATCCAGCTGTTTGCAGCACCTGGGCAAGCCTTGGGGAACACCCCCAGCCAGGGCAGTCCCTGGGGTGGCCAGGGCAGGACCCAGGGTGGCCAGGGCAGTCCCTGGGGTGACCAGGGCAGGGTCCCCACACCAAGGACTCACCGCCAGCGTGTCCAGTGCATCGATCAGCGTCAGGGAGTAGTTCCCCAGCACATCATTGATGTTCAGGTTGGAGCTGGAAAAGCAGAATCACAGAATTGTTAAGGATGGAAGAGATCTGTGCAGATCATCCAGTCCAAACCCCTGTCCAGGCACGGTCACCTGGAGCAGGTGACACAGGAACGTGTCCAGATAGGTTTGGAAAGGCTCCAAAGGGGGAGGCTCCACCACTCCTTGGGCAGCTGTTCCACAGCTCTGCCCCACTATGGAAAGAAATTCATTCCAGTACCTGAAGGGAGACTACAAGAAATACGGAGAGGGACGGGATAAAGGGGAAATGGCTTCAAAGTTAAGGCGAATAGATTTACATTGGATATTAACAGGAAATTCTTCCCTGGGACGGGGGGCAGCCCTGGCACAGCTATGGCTGTCCCTGGATCCCTGGCAGTGCCCAAGGCCAGGTTGGACACTGGGATTTGGGACAGTGGGAGGTGTCCCTGCCATGGCACGGGTGGCATTGGGTAGGATTCAAGGTCCTTCCAACCCAAACCATCCTACGATTCACACAGAGGTGGAACTTGTACTTTAGCTTATGGCCATTACCAACTGTCCCGTGGCTGGGCCCAGCTTGACCCGAATGAGACACAAACACGGACCGGTGCCAGCCCGGGGTCCCCATCCACCCATCCATCCCTCCCTTCCCGCACCCGGCCCCGCTCCCCGGCCTCACTCACGGGTCTCGGCGGTCGGGCCCGCGGCCGCGGCAGTGCAGAGGGTCGAGCTCGTCGCGGGGGAAGGCGTGCTCCATGTAACTGTCGTAGCCGAACACGAACATGCCCCGGGCCGCGTCCCGCAGCCGCGCCCGCAGCTGCGGCGGGAAGGCGCCGCTGTAGCGCCGCTCGTACTCATCGCCGCCCGCCGCCGCGCCCCACAGCCGGGCCCCGCGGCCCGCAGCGCCCGCGGTCGGCCCGGGCAGAGCGGGCGGCCGCGGGCCGGGGCAGGGCAGGCGCGGGTGCAGGCAGAGCCCGCGGGCCAGCGCGGGCAGCAGCGTCAGCAGCGCCTGCAGCCCGAGCCGCAGCAGCAGCAGCCCCAGCACCACCGACCGCCATCGCATGGCCGCCCGCGCATAGCGCAGCGGCGCCGCCCGCGCCGCGCCGCGGCCCCTTTAAGAGCGGAAGGGAAACGGGAGTTGGGTGCGGCGCGAGGCCCGCCCGTGCCGCGCTGCTATTGGTGGAGCTGGCGCGGAGGCGGGAGCGGCCGCTGGCTATTGGGCGCGCGGGGGTGTCACTCAAGGGCAGCGCCCGGCGGCGTTAAAGGGGCGGGGCGGCGCGGGGCTGTCGTGGCACGGCTCGCGGCCGCAGCTCCGCCCGGGCGCAGGGGCGGGGCGGGGCCGGACAGCGGAGCGGCCTCCCCGGACAGGGCTGGGCCATGGGCCTCGACCGGCACCGGGCCCAGATCCGCCACCGGGGCCTGCCCCGCCGTCACAACCACCCCCGGAGCGCTCCGGGCTGCGGAACACCGGCTGCAGAACTGGGAAAGACCCAGGGGGTGCCGGTGACAGCGGCTGGATAGCAGCAGGAATTCCTCCACGGAAAGGGACAGCAGCACGAATTCCTCCACGGAAAGAGACAACAGTAGGAATTCCTCCACGGAAAGAGACAGCGGCAGGAATTCTTCCACGGAAAGGGACAACAGCACGAATTCCTCCATGGAAAGGGTGGTTAAGACTTGGAACTGCCCAGGGAGGTTTGGAGTGCCCATGCCTGGAGGAGTCCAAGGAATTCCTGGATGTTGCACTCAGAGCTCTGGGCTGAGGCCAGGGTAAGGATCGGGCACAGCTGGGACCCTGATCCTGGGGTTTTCCAGCCTCAGTGATGCTGGGATTGTGTGACACGCGTGACCCGCGGCTCCTGGAGCCCCAGGACACGGCAGGGAACGAGCCCCGGCCGGGGCAGGAGCCACATTCCCCGGGAATTGCAGTGGGAGGAAGCCAGGCCACGCTCCTGGAGGAGCATCGTGGAGGAGATGGACGCAGGGATTTCCAGCCCACAGTGCCAGAAGTGACTGGAAAACAAGAATAACAAGGACCAGAGCACCAGGTGTGACCGCAGCCCTGGTGGCCCCGTGGGACAGGCTCGGGGACAGCTGCGGGTCCCGAGAGCTGCAGAAATGGAAGAGCTGACAAATGCCAGGTGTGGATGTGAGAGTGAGCACACTCGGCAGTTCTGGTAAAACCAAATTTCTTGCAGATAAGCAAAAGAACAGAAAGAAACCACAGCTGGGGGAGGTAAAGACGAAACCCAGCTCCAAGCTACTCCAGCAACCTCAACAGCATCTGAGTGTCTGGCTGTGAACAGGTCACTTGTCACTGAACTGAGCTGGCCTTTCACCAAAGTGCCTCATCTGTTACCAGGAAATGGGGCAGAATATGAAAAATGCAGGAAAAAAAATAAAGGACGTATTATGCACAGGCAGACAACCAGATAATAATGATCTGTCTTCAGCCTGTAGTTTTAGAGTAGTTCAGAAATCAGATCTTTGTTTTCCAATTATTGTAACAGAAACAGTAGAATGAGTAAATCCAAACCAAATATCACGACTCACTGGTTCAGCCAGGCTTCTGGATGCTGACTTTAGAGAAAATCCTCTAGCCTGAACAACCAGTTCTCTTCCTCAGTCTGCAGAATTCTTGGATCTCCTCAATGTTATTCAAACCAAGAAGGGAATTCATTATTGATTCTCAAAAGAGGAAAATTCCTTCTTGTTGCAAAGACTGCAGTGTCCACACCCCAAGTGAAACAATTACAGAAAAGCACCTTAACAGTGTACTTACCCTTGAGACTCTTGTGAGAATCAAGTTTAGCTTTAAATTTCACACCCCACCACAACATTTTCTTCCTCTATTGACGTATTTGCTCTGTTTGATGCATAATATAGTTCAGGAACTTCAACCCAATGGGTCTTTTCAGAAAAAAACACAAATAAGACCAACCAATGCTCCCAGTACCAGAACAAAAATGACCAGAAATGGGAATTTCATAGCCTGGCCTCTCAAAGTTGCCTGCACTGAGCACAAGGTGTACAGTCACTCTCCAGATTAAGTAATGTAGTTAAAGATACTCAAATGTTTCCCACAGTTAGGTAATGAGAGTTCTTAGATATTTCTAACAATAATAAAAGCAGCTGTCCTACTACAGATGAATATGCAAAAAAAGTGGTTTTCAACAACACTTTATTGAAGCACTTCAAAATTATCACAATGATAGATGTTGCCTTTAACAGAATAAAACCTGTCATGTCATAATTAAAAGGCACTAATCCTGGCACAAAGGTCTACTTACCCACCTTCCACTGGGAGGGAGATAAAAACATCAAGTATTTCACTTCTCCTTTTTAAAGAGTATGTGCAAAGCCCCTCTGAGTGCCATTTGTGTTTGCCATTGGAGTGACACGTGAGAGAAAACCCCTCTGTTTCACCAGGACACGCTGGAACATCCAGCAGCTGCAGCCCTAAAGCAGCAGAGCCCTCTCAAGGGTCATGGTCTGGTGAGACAAACTGTTCTGCACTCACATTTTGGGAACTAAAGCCCTGAAGCTCAGGCACTCACACATGACTTCTCCTTTAACACGATTCACTGTCTGTGTCAGCTTAGAAACACAGCTAAATAAATATCCTGCTGTCCAGCCCTTTTTGGGATGCACACTCCTCAGGGTCAGTGCAGGAGCAAGGCAGGGGAGCAGTGCTGGCATGCTGGGGGAGCACAGTTCCTGCACAAAGCAAACCAGGACGTGCCATTGCACAGCCACAGCAACGACAAAGGAAACCTCAGGCAAGTTAAAAGCTTGGTAATCCTGCTAAGACATACCTCAGGTTATTACAGATCCCTGCACAACATTCCTAGATCCAACAGAGAGACTGTTTAAGGCATTTTCTTTGGCCTTTTCTTCTACCAGAAAGTGAAGATTATGCATTTTGATACATCAGCACCCAAAATTTTCCCAATCTGTCTCCATCACAATGCAAAGAGAAAACATAAATCACTGAGAAACTGGATTATGGGTTCCAGGGATGATGGAACAGCTCCACATTTGTGCATCTTTCCTGTTGCCAAGTGGTGGGACAGAGGTGCTCTGTGCAGCTGCCCAGTCCCTCAGCTGGCCCTGGGTGATGGGAACTTGAAGGAATCACCATCCACACCAAAGCTGTGAGGACAGGGACACTCCAAGGAAAACTCTCCCACTGCCAGAGCTGTGGGGACAAGCACAACCATTCCTCATCTCACCACTGCTGCTCCAGGACCACCTGCACTGACCAGAGCCACCACCAAGGACTGAGAGCTGATTTAAACCCAGGACAGCACACAATGCCCACACCCCACCAGTCACAGAGGCAGCACTGCTGTCCAACCTCCAGGTATTCACCACCACCAGTTCTCTCTGGCTCAGTGTTTGCCTTTTCACAAGAGCTGCTTTTCTTAACATGCCAACAGTCAAGTCCTGCAACTCCAGAGGAGTTCCAGGGCTGGGGCTGTTGATGTCAAATGCAGTAACTTGTGAAACTAAAATGCATCCCCAAAAGCAACTTTTGTGAAGAGAAAGGGAAATTTAATAATCCTCTTTTTACTGTCCATGCTCACTACAGAGCCTGAGACAAGCAATCATGGTGAGATTACATTTCTAGAACACAGCTACAGCATCCAAGTTCAGCAAAAACCACTGCTAATGCCTGAACTCCACACCTTTATAGGCCAGAAAATATTTAACCTTGGACATAAAGTGTCAGATGAGTACTGATTTCAGTCCAAGGCTGAAAGGTGCTGAGAAGGAAACACTTCCTCCACTTCCCTTGTTTCAAAGGAAAGGCAAGTTACTGGAGCCCAGAAACAGAACAAGTGCACTGGAATCAAACAGCCACTCTGAGGTCTCCTTCCTGCCACAGGAGTTACCATGAGCATCTGGCAGAGCAGTACTAGAACAGCTGTGAAACAGCATTTTGGGCAGTATTGCAAATGTACATTTTAGAGCACACACGTCATAGGGGGCCCCGTGTCTCTCCCTGCTATTTACACCTAGAAACAAAACTGGCACTGAAATATCACATGAAGCAAAAAGCTGTGGGTCAGTTCACAGCACAGCTGATTTACTCAATGACTGGTGCTGGTATCACACCAACCAGGCTGGCAAGGCTGACTGCACTAACATTGTTTTCAGATTTGTGTCAAGACATTTTACTTTGACTATGAACTGCAGGGAGCTTGTTCTGCATGCAGGAAACTCCCAAAGAAATATACACAGGATCTTTGAACAGTTCACTAGTCCTTCCCACCAGCTGAGTTACACATGCTCAAAGACCTGCACTCAGGACTAAAAACTAACCTGATACAGCTCAGCAAGTCTGAAAGCTTACATGGAGACAAGCCTGAAACAAGACATCCAATTTCTAACCATTAATTGGAAGATGCTGATAGACAGTCCTACAAATTAATCCGTGTCCTAAGAGAAATTAATACAACAAGAACCTTTGGGAAGAACGGTGAAACTTCGGATTAAAATCACAGCAAAGATTTTGTTCAAGACCTCAGCCAACAAAAGCCTCCCTTTCCACTGAGATAAGAATCTTTCTGCTTTAATTGGCAGTGAATGATCAGGCACTGCAAGATCTGACACTTGTGCTAGAAAAACAAAAGGTTTTACTCTAGGCTTGACACAAGAACCAAGCTTGCAGACACATGCATTTCTCTCCTGAAAACAGAGCTCCAGAAGGCTGCCCCTGCTTCACACCCTGCAGCTGACCAGTGCTTTTCACACACATAAAAAAGCTCTGAAATCTGCTCAGACTATCTGAGCTTGCTCAGGTAAGGTGAGCAAGCCCCAGGCCTCAAAGGTAGTTTTGTGAGCATTTCACTGGAACAGATGAACCACAGAATATAAATCAGCTCAGGTATTTATCAATCCTTCTTCCCCCACTGTAATCTTTGGCAGAGCAGACAGACATCCCATTGTGTTTTTCCATGAGTTCAGCCACATCAACTCAAGTCAGGCAGTTAAGTGTCAATACAACCCTCAAAACATAAGTTTATTGAATAAAGCTGAAGAGCAGTAAACCAACATATG